TGTTTCTTACTAAAGGCATCAACAACTCCTCACATGGCTCTGAGGAAGTCTAGAGGGAGCCTCCTCTCCCACCACCTCCCCCAGTGCCACCACTGCATTTCCACCTTGCCCAAAGAATCCAGAAAGCCCCTTCCCTCGGGGCAGCTTCACAATCCCATCACAAAGCAGCACCGTTAATTTTATTCAGCTTTGAGCCTCTGGCTGTGCCCACTCTGTCCTCTCCTCAGCCTGTGCCAGGGACACAAGGCTCCTGTGTTTAATCAGTTTTTTTTTTTTCTGGCTGAACTGATGCACCCCCAGAATTAACCTCGGTGACCCAGACTGCAGGGCCCGGGGTGGTTTGGTGAGACACAAGGCAACAGTGCCTTTCTGGGGCACTGAAAAAGCTGGATTTTACACTGAGGCAACAAAGCTCAACCCTTGAAAATACTGCTCCTGGGAGCAAGTGAACTCCTTAAATTTAAAGAGCACAGAAGCCACGGGTGGAATAATTTCTCTGAGCTGAGTGAGCAGCCACCTGTGGAAGGGACAAACCAAAAATATGAAGGAGCTGGAGCAGCTGAGGGAGCTGGGGGGGCTCAGCCTGGTCACTTCTGCCTGTTTCCTGCCTCAAGGCTTTCAACCCTTGTTCAAGGTACAGTAATTGGTGTGAAGAGGAAACAGCCCAAAGGAAGAGCAGACAAAATTTTGTAATGGATCTCTTTTTTTTTTTTTTTTTCCAACCAGCAAAGTTAAATCAGGACTAAATTTGGTTCGGTCTATTCTGCCTGTGAGACTCCCTGGGTTTTTTTGGAGACTGTGTTTTAGAAAGTCAGGATAGCAAGTACCTTTGCAGTCACTTTTGAAAGATTTTACTGATTAATTCCTCGTTCGTTCCTCGTTAAATCTCACACCCCCGGGGGTGCTTTGCTGACATCTCACACCAGTGGGATTAGGGAACAGCAACAGCAGTGCTGGGGTGACCAAAACCACACGGGGAAAGGAATAGAAAAAGAGGGAAAAGAGAAAAACCAGTGTCACCCTCTCTGTGGTGGCAGTTAAAGAGCTGTCACCACCCCCCTGCAGCTGAGGAGGAACATTTATTATTCTCACACAGATTTATCTGTTGACATCCAATGGAGCTTTTTTTTTTTTTTTTTCTTTCTAATCATTTGGATTTATAACTCTTTGTGAAAAGCCTTCTATGAATTCAAAGTAATCTGAGTGAAGTGCC